TATCCACAAAATGTTGGAAGGGGTTTGTTCGAATTGCAAAGAGATGTTTGCTTAGCCATCCAAAGGAGCGCCCTACCATGGCTGAGGTTGTTTTCAGTCTTGAATATGCACTGAACATACAAGACAAAATCAATAGTTCCTTGCAGGCTGGTGGCAAAACAATATTTAGAAGAATGTCTGATAGGTTTCCCTTTGCCTCCAGTGTAGAGAACTCTGGTATTTTGAGCTCCTGTTGAATTGTGTGTATAGATTCTTAGAATATATAAATGCAATTTCATAATTTTAAAACACAAAAGAGTATTTATGCAGAAAGAAGTACTAAGTTAAAATATCCAGGGTATCATTCTATCATTTACTTCAGTTATATTGGTGATTAGCATAATCCAAATTTCTTTCATTCATTTTATTATTAACTATTTCTAGTTTCATTGTTTTGCTCTGAATCCTGATTCTTGATAAGTTTTTTCTGCAGCCTAGGTGATGGGGCATGCCTAAATTGGACCCTTTCACAGGGGCACTCCATAGTAGTCTTTATATACTTGCTTATCTTCTTTACTATATAATCTTGATTTGTTCATCTTTTTCAGCCCATGATGATTTAAAGTTCTGGAAAGGTATCCAGAGGTTGGGTTGAAAACAACACTTTCATCTCTACAAATCCTGATGTTGGTATTAGGAAGCACAAAGAAGAAGGTTTTCAGCGACATACTACAAGTCTGGTAAGTATCCAAAAGTACACAACTTATATTTATAATGAAGACAAAATTGAGAGTTTAATGGGAAAACATTTGACTAACATACTTCTTCTCATCCTTTCACTTGCTGACATTCTCACAAATCTGTTAAATAGATCATATTTGAGGAGAAATGCTAGATGATATTTATGAAATGGGGTTACACAAAATACTCATGCTACCCTTATCTAGTTTCCTATTTGAATTGTATCTTTGTATATAAAATGAGGGCTTAATCACAAAATAAAATAAAATAAATATTTTCCAGATAACTTCTAGTTTTCATCTATTATAATGACCCTAGGAGTCTGTTGTCGGAACCTACAGAAGAAAACTTTTTCAGTGAATTTGGTAAAGGGAGTAGGTACAAATTATTGGAAATTATTTGTAAAGGAAGCTCTGGTATTGTATGTTCAAAGACATATATGTGGTTTTTGAGCTTATGGGATCTGGTCTACATCAGGTTATTAAAGGAAACGATGACTTAACACCAGAACACCATCAATTCTTTCTTTATCAGCTTCTTCGAGGACTGAAATACATACACTCAGGTCATACAGTGTTATCATCTGATGATATGAGTATTTGTTTAATTGTTTGAAGTAATCATGCCTTGTTATATTTTTGTGTATTCTGATTGTGAATTACTTCTGAGTTGTTACAGTATGCCACATTCAAATCAAAGGCATAACCATAATTATGACTTTGATTGCAGCTCATGGAAAGGCGGGGCTATGGGTAAGAATATATAAATCGTTACAAGATGATGACAAGGTATTTCCCAACTCCCCTTTTGTCCCCTTTTATAAATTCTTAATTTAGTAATTAAATCTTTCTTTTGTATTTACAAGATGATGACAAGTTATTCTTGTATGTGGCACAACATGTGTTGGAAAGTGAACAATTGCTACCCATCTTGGTCAAAGGCTAAACTTGCCAAATGTTTTACAGGTGAATCTTGATGTCCCTTTGTTCTATATTTCAAATACCCCTTTGACTTTTCTCACATCTGCCAAAAACAGCTAGAACAAACTCAAAGTGGACACCTTTTTCACTTCTCCATGACGCCTCAAGTAATGTTCAGAACCATTTAAAGAAGAATACTTTTGTGAAGAAGGATATGGGGCCACGAATCTAGATAGATGATATCTTTACAGGAATCTCTGAACCTAGTGATGATTCTGATGTTGAATGGAATATGACCAGGGACAAAAGATGAATATGATGTTGAATGGGATCAGGTGGTTTTCAAAAGAATTGGGGAAATTGGATTTTAATATGGAATTCAATACTAATGAAGGAGAAGATAATACTACTGGAGGTATTGTTATTTCTTCATCTTTTGGCTTTTATTATTTGTTATTTATTTATTACAACATTGTACTTTGAAAGTCATTTAAATCCAAATACAAAGCAATACTTGGGTAATTAAATAAGAAAAAAAAAGTTAATCATTCAGGTTAGAATAGCATCAACACACATAACAGGTGAATTGATGTTTTGTTATGCTTCATCTGCTGGAGAACGAGGCATCCAAGTTATTATTGCCGGTGCAGGGGGTGCAGCCCATTTGCCAGGTTTTATTCTGTAATTTACTTTTATTTCTTCCAAATACAACAATTTCAATTTTTTTTCATTTTTTTCAAAAATTTGTGATTAGGTATGGTAGCTGCAGAGGCATCACAATTATTATTGCTGGTGCAGGGGTGCAGCCCATTTACCAGGTTTTATTCTCTACTTTACTTTTATTTCTTCCAAATACAACAATTTCAATTTTTTTTATTTTTCATTTTTTTTCCAAAATTTGTGATTAGGTATGGTAGCTGCATTGACACCCTTACCTGTCATTGGAGTTCCTGTGCGTGCTTCAGCATTAGATGGCCTTGACTCCCTTCTCTCAATTGTTTAGGTATATTATATTTTATATACACCAATCTACTTTCATCTATTTCTTTATTATATACTTTTACTTCACTTTTTTCCTATTATAGTATTCTACGTTAAAAATTCTACAAAACCTTAATAGAAAGAAATAAAAGTAAGATGTTAAATTAATTACTGAAATAAATGCTATTTCTTGGAGATGTCAATGAAGAAAAGGTTTAGGCTGCTTAGTGATGAAGTGATGGAGCCTTTAACAAAATTTTATCCTCATACATCCAATTAACCTAGAGCCCATAAGGACAATGATCATAAGACAGAACATACATTTTTTTTCTCTTTGATTGTTTAAAGTTGTGGCTGTTTTCAATAGTATTGGGGCATGTTCATCATGCAGCGTACTGAAGGAGAAACCAAACCTGAGAAAGAGAAAGTGGAAGATGTATGTTAGTTGTGGTCAATGGTCGTTTATTTATATACTAAGTTTGATTTATAATTATCTTGTTTAATCATACCTATAATCTGTTCTTTCAAGGTAAAGGGGATGATGGCATTGAAAGAAATAACAATGATACAGATGTTAAACCCACTGAAAAGGTTGAGGATGCTTCCTAGAAAGAAAGTGAATCCAGTGTGATTAAGGAGGACGTGTCTGAAGCTGAAGCACTTCCTGTGACTATAGTAAGCCAAAATTTCCTTGTTGAGTTTCTCAGTTTATGTTTCTTGTTTTCCCATTATAATATCTTA